AGCGCCGGGTGCGCAGCTCGGAGAGCGTGGCTGCGTGCGACTCCGGGGCGCGAGCGGAGGTCCAGAGCCCCCCCGCGCCGGTTGTCTCGGCGGCTGCGTCGCGGACTGCAGGCTGGCAGCCGTCGCTGAGCGCGGCAGAAGCAGCGGCGCGCGACGGACGCGCGCCCCCAACCAATCCCCCGCCGATCATGGCGCGCGCGCCTGCTGCGGAGGCGCCGTCTGGAGACGGGCCTCGCCCCGGCCGGCAAGCGCCGGGCGACCTCTGGCTGATGGTCGCAGAGGCGTGGGCTGACGCCCCGCGGGCCCGTGAACGCTGGGATCACTTCCCCTGGGACTGCAGAAAACCAGGAAGGGGCGAGCTCGCCCAGAAACGGTCCCACGACAGGTCGTGATCGAGTTTGTGTACTCCCTGCCATTGCTTGGGCGGCCGCCAGCTGGCGCGTGCGCCCCGCCGGCCGCGGCGGGCCCGACTGGTCAGCTCGAGGCAGCCGAGGGCCCCGACTCGGCCGGGTGCCTGGCTGGTCTGGCGGGCGCCTCCAAGACGCAGCTCGTGGCGCGCATCGAGCTGCTGGGCGGGCCCGAGCAAGATATCTTGGGGAGCTCGCTGCGCGCAGTTCGGCGGCGACGCGGTGGGCCCGTGGTGGCATGGCGTGAGCTTCCTGCTCAACTTCCTCGCGGGGTGTGAGTGGGGCACCGCGTTGCAGTCTCCTGTGTCGGGCGGTCAGGCACCAGACAGGCGCCGATCTGTCGGCGTTCCGCCCTTGGGCGCACTGATCGGCCGCTCTAATCGCGCGCCGATGAGTGGCCTGTTGTGACCTGTTGCTCGCCGCTTCCCCTTCGCCCACGTCCCGCGCCCGTGTCTCGCCTGGTCAATTTCTCCGAGAGGAGGGGGGGCGAGGCCGACGAGACGTTCGAGGGCGACGTCGCGCCGCGAACGGCGGCGCAAGCTGGTCTGAGGCTACGCCTCGCCCCCGCCCCTCGCCCACGCTCTGCGATTAGTCGCTCCAGGCGCGCGCCGACCTGTCGCCTCCTGAGTTCGCCGTGTTCCACCCGTGCTTCACTCGCCCTTGCTTCGCCACTCCTGGCCTTTTGGCTGCGGCGTTCCTTCTGTTCTCCTTCGGAGGTGCCGTGTTCCCGCCGCCCTCCGGCAGCGGTCTCCTCCGCGGTGGTTCGTCGGCCCCCTCCTCTTCCTCCTCGTGGGTCGCGGGGTTCGCCCGGTCGTCGCCGTCGTCGGTCGCGGGCTCGGCCGCGTCGTGGGGCCCCCCCGCCGTCGGCCCATCCAGACCCCCCTCCCGCTTCTGCTCCTGCTTGCTCTCTCTATTCCCCGGGGATTCGGATGGCCCCTCCTTGGCCTGACTACAGTATTCCTCTGGTGACTGCCGACGTGATGCGCCCCTTTTGCTCCCCCCCCTCCTCCTCCTCCTCCTCCTCCTCCTCCTCCTCCTCCTCCTCCTCCTCCTCCTCCTCCTCCTCCTCCTCCTCCTCCTCCTCCTCCTCCTCCTCTCTTGCTATCTTTTCCTTGCCTCTCTCTGTGCGTCGCCCCCCTTCCTGGTGTTGCACGGTCCCCTTGGGCTGCGAGCGCCAGTGAGGGGCAACCCTGGCGGGGGTCTCTGAGGTTGGTTTCGCCTTTGGTGTCCAGCCACACCCCCGCCACGCTGCCGCCTCCCGTCTCTAGCTCGGCCAGGCGGTGCCATTCACCTTGCGTGCTGGCTGGGGCACTGGCTTTATTGCGCGTCAAGGGGTGCGCGTGGCAATTTCCACAGGCACCGCTCGTGGTCGGCGCCTTTCTTTGTCTGGCAGCTTGTCCGGCGGCGGCCTTGCCGCCTTGCTGCTTGCGGCCTAGCATGGGGTTCGGGCTGGCATGGCCGCGGCCTGTTTGATTTTCGCTTCCTGCATCGCACCTGGGGTGCGCGTCCGCACCTTGGGCTGCAGTTCGCATCTCCTGCTGGTTTTAGCTGTATGTCTGCTGGATTGTCGGCTTCTATGCGTCGGCGTAGCCCTTTGGCGGGTCCGCCTTTTTCGGCATCCTTTTCGCTTTGTCGCCTTTGGTCGGAGTGGGGAGACCTTTGAGGTGACGCGTGCGCGTGCAGTCTCTCTTGAACCTAGGTGGTTGCTCGTCTTTATGTTTTGCTTTCGCCTGCCTTCATGGTAGCTCTTCGCGGCTTTGGCTGCGTTGAGGTTGCTGTCTTAACGCTGGCGTCTGCACTGCACGTTGGCCATGCTCGCGCGTGTCCACCACCCATGTGCGCCACTGCGTTTCGCGGTCGCTGCTCGCGGTCGCCCGCGCAAAACTCTGTTTTTGTTGTACAAGGCTAAGACAGCATCGGCCGCGTGATCACCTTTGTCACGCCGACCTCGTGCATTCTGTTGCACGGTCGTTTTATGTGGTTCTTGCCCGCTGTAAGGCCGGTGGCGTTGCTTTGTCGCGCTGCTCTCTCGTGCACGCAACGCCACCAAATTGGCTGGTCTGGCAGCTTTGCAGTTTGTCGTGGCTGTCATTCGCACCCGACTGTTGGTGGCGCTGAAAACTTCCTGCGTCGAGTTTTCGCTCCGTGGGCTCTTTGGCTGCTGCTCTTTGGCTTGTAGCGCCTTGTTTTTTCCACCACCAATCTGCATGGCCGTGGCTGGGTTCTTTCATCATGGCGCGTTCGACTAAATTCGTTCGCAATTGGCACCTCCACCTGTCGACCGCGCCTGAGGCTCCTCTGCGCCGCCGACTTAAAAGTGAGTGTGTGTGTGTGTGTGTGTGTGTGTGTCCGGCCGAATGCTGAATGCTTGGCAGCGGCTGGCACACTGCCCCATCGGGCTCCCTCGACCGCCTAACTCAGTCGCGTCGCTGCGCCCGTGGTCGAGACGCCAAAAGTGTTTGTGTGTTTGTGAGGGAGAGAGAGAGAGAGAGAGAAGGAGAGAGAGAGAGAGAGAGAAATAGAGAGTGACGCTCGCGCGTTCGCTGCGTTACCACCTTCTCCGCCATGTCGCCGCGCGCAAGGCCGCGATGCGAAAAGTGTGTGTGTGTGTGTGTGTTTGTGTTTGTGTGTGTTTGTGTGTGTGTGTGTTGTTTGTTATTTTTTTTTGTGTGTGTGTGTGAGAGAGAGGGCGTCTGTGTCTGTGTGTGCCAGGACGTGTTTATATGTTGTTGCTTGTTTGTTTGGTTGTGTGCATATGTGTGTGTATGTATGCATGTGTGTGTGTGCGTGTATGTGTGTGTGTGTCTGTTCTGTACGACGTGTCTCACGCGATGGGCCGATTTTCACCTTTCAGGCACGGGCGCCGTCGCCCTTGCGCCCGTGTCGGTCTCGCGTGCGATCGGCGCCGACGCTAGCCCACACCTATTTTCTCTGCTCCTCTTCTTGTCCGGCAAACTGCATCTCTTTGGGAATTGCGCAATGTTGTGGCAGGTACTATAATCGACCCGTGTAATGAGGACGCACGGTAAGATGCATGGCCTTGGGAAGGCCATCTGAACATTCTGCGAGCGGGGCGCGGCCAGCGAAGGCGGCCAAGGATGGGCCCAAGGGGAAGCGTGCAGATTTCCGGGAAAACCGCTCATCCTGATTATATGCGGGTTGACTGTATAGGCTTGCGGCCTTGGCCTCCTAACAGCCGTGCTGCCCAGGCCAGTTTTTCTCACCTTGTCGGTGCGCCTGTACCGTCGGGCAGCACCGCTGGCACTGGTCGCACCCTCCACTGCTGTGGACGCGTCCAAAACGCCGCGCTTTTGCCTCACTTCGTCGCCTTCTGCCCTTGTGGTCCCAGTCTGCCTGGTGTGCTCGGCCTTTTTGCATCTGCATGGCCGCAACGGCATTTTCCGCATGCGTGCGCGTCCCCGCGTGTTTCTGCAAGCGACTGGCACCATCCAGTCCATCGGCCTGACTTGCCAGGCGGAGATTCGCCCAAGCGTGCCCTGGCTTGGCGCATCGCGTCGGAGTCGTCACCTCGCCGCTGGAGGAGAAACTGTGTGTTCTCGCGGCCCACCCATTGCTGCATTTGACAGTGTGCACGGCTTGTGCACTGTGCCTTCGGCATTGCTCGATCGCACTTGGCATTTCCAGTTGCTGTCCGCGCCTGAAGACCCTCTGCGCCCCCGGCTCAAAGAGGCGCGCGGGCGGCCAGCGCCGACGCAGGCCAGCCCCGTACGGGCCCTTGTCAAGGTGCTCCTCTTTCCACCCCGAGGTCAAATGGACAATCTTTGGGTACCGGGATAAATTATCCGACTCCCCTCCATCTCTGGCCGACTCTGAGTGGCCGACTGGTCGACTGGCCGACTCTACGAGTGGCCGACTGCGGAGTCGGAAAGCTCTTCCCGGTCGGTGCCTCAGAAATTTTCTCCCCCCCCCCGGGTGGGAGAGTGCCTCTGGGGGGCCACCCGTCTGGAGGTCTCTGGGTCGGTGCCTCGCCACTCCTCGGGCGCCTCCGGCACACCTCCGGCCGCTGTGCACTGCGTTCTTCTTTGGGCCGTGGCGCTGCTCCTCGATGACGCGGGCAGCGCCGCGAGCGGCCGTACTCAACTGGCGCCTCTACAGCATCAACGCCAGGTTCTCCGCATGCTGCGCATGAAAGCTGCGGCTCCTCTACCCCCACCGCGCGCTCCTCGCCCCTGCTACCGTCCCTTCGGTGGCCCGGCCCTCTCTTGCACTGCGTGGCCGCCTGGGCATCTTCCGCGTGCATGTTCGCTTCTGCGGTTTTGCCTGCACGCGACTGCCCCGCCAAATCCACTCATCTGCTACGCCAGGCAGGAATTGACCTAAGCGTGTCCCAGCTTAGCTCTTCGCGACGGTGTCGTTCACTCGCCGCTGGAGGTAGAATGGTGTGTGTGTGTGTGTGTGTGTGGTAGGGGGTGCCGAATTTGGACAACACCCTGAAGACAGACAGCGGCCTCACACTACACACAACATCCCACGCAAAATGATAATCAGCGCAGGCGAGAGTCTTAGTATAGATTGGATCGACGGGAGGGCACTCGCACTCAGCGAGAAACGGAGTGAAGCACTGGCAGGAGCCTCTGCGACGCTTCCCTCTGGAACTCTCCGCAGTTGATCAGACTGCAGCCAGAGATCCTGTAATTTTGGTTAAGCTGCTTGCAGCTACTCTTGCATCAACTCCATCACGCAGAGATCCCATCACGCATGCAGGGTGCACACAACTGTTTGCAGAGTGGACAAATAGACGACCACCAAGCTCTGATACCAATAGCGCGCCCTGTGTTGCACATCATGCTTGTACGCTACAAAGGACAATTCTTACGATCTGCCGTCAGCTGAGCCAGTGCGCAGCAACGACCAATCATGCATCGCCGAATGAAACGAGGTGATCAGTGGCCACATCAGAAATTAGCTCTCCAGAGTGGGAGTGCAACACCCACGGAGACGAGACACTTGCCTGACCAACCAGGTTAATTATCACGGTGAGTTCAATGGGAGAAGGCGAGGCCATGGCTTCAACGACCACGCGTGTAAACTCTCTTACAGGGCTCCCATATAATTCGAGATCGCGCCTCCAGCTCGTCGAAGCCTGGCAGACTACCTGTCTGCTGTCTGGTAGGATGTGCATCTGTCCGATGGCGACCCCCCCCCCTCGTCGCGGCCTTTCCCTAACGCTGTCCACCGCGGGGGGTCCAAATCCAAGCGCGCAAGCCTGTGTTGAGGGGGGCCCTGCGGGCCCGCACCAACAGTCACTCCGGCGAAGAGTCACTCCTACGCGTCACCGATTCTCCCCTCGCGCTCTGCTCCTCGGCGCACTCACCCGCCGCAAGAAGGCCCAACGCCGTTCCAATGCGGCTGCAACGTGCCCACGACTGGCCCCCGACGTCTGAACGACTCCCCTCGCGGGCCCCCAGAAATCATCAAGAGACGCTTGAAGGCCCCAAGAAGCTCTCAGCACGCTCTCCAGCAACGCCATGGGAGGCCATAACTATATATCCACTTTCTGTGGTGTTTTGTGCTCTCAAACTTTTCACCCCAAGATGGCCCTTCGAGGCGTCAGACAAGCTCCCAATACGGCCAAAGACGGGCCCCAAGAAGGCACTAAAACGCCTCGAGGACATTCCAAGACAGCCCAACACCCCCAAGATGGCTCCAAGAAGATGGCCCACAGAACCGTCCAGGTGACTGAAGAGTATCCTGAGGACCAACGGGGGCCGTCGAAGCATGGTTCTCCATCGGCCTCTGTAAAGCCATAGTGCCGAGCCTGTTTGGGAGAACTCAGTAGAACAATCGTCCTCAAGACGGCCCGAGAGCGTCCTGGTGGCCCGTGGATGCTGTGTAGAATCAAGGTGAAAGCAATGCCCATCATAGTGATGCAATGAGGCGCACACTGCGCAATGATCACTCGGATTACCTCGGTGCGCTGAGGCTGGCGTGGTTTGTCGCGCGTCACTACACGCACGCAACAAAAAAACTTCAATACCTCACTGAATTGATCACACATGCCAACTTCGCTCAACTTTTCCCAGCCGTGAAGTTCACGGCACCATTATCCCTGTTCTTGGTCGTGATCCCATCACCTCCTTGCCTATTAAGCGTAATCCTTTGCCACGCAAAGGCATCGCGAGCGGTGACCCACATCTGTGGTTCCGCGTGTCTCACAACCGAGCCCTCCATCCACCCCGTGCTCTCCACCACTGCTCCGTCGAGCTCCAGCCTGCGCCCCTCTGTCGCTCCAACCCTCCGCAAGATCTCGCCTCCATGATACCGGGATCGCATCGCGCGACCCTCGGAGTCCAGGTCCGCCGGAGGACGCCGCATGGATCCCCAGGATTCTGCATGCCGTCTCTGTCTGGCATCGCTCCGCCCCGCCCCGTAGCAACTTTCAGTGGCGAGGCGCGCCGAGCCGTGTAGGCCATCTGCGAGGCCAGCTGGCACGGGGGGACGCAACCGAGCAAAGACCCGAACTATCGACTCCCGCACGCCGCCGGGACCTGCGCTGCATCGCCGTCACCGCAGGCATCTGGTGCTCCGAGGTGCGAGGCAGGCCAGCACGAGAGAGGCGGGAGTCCATGACGCAGGCGAGGTCCATGGGGCCGAAGTCGAACCCCTGGAGGCGCACAGCACTTATATATATATATATATATATATATATCTCACATTTATATATGTATATATAGAAATGTTATACAGGAAGACGCAACAAAAACACACCTGTTGTTTCGAATGTGGTAGCATGATGCCCTTTCTCTCCGCCGTGGTCCCGAGGAACATTTCAAGCGTGTTGCCGTGACTCCCGGGGCACGCACGGCGCCCTGTCCTGCCTGTCCTCACGGCGAAGCTGTGACGATGCGAACTCTTAGTTTATGGTCAAGTCTGTGACTGGGGAGGAGATGGGGGACGGTGAGTAGGATAAGGAAGAAGGGGCAAGGGGGATACTGAGGATGGAACGACGAAGGTTGATGAGGATGGGGAGAAGGAGGAGCAGGAAGAGGAGCACAGTAGCAGGAATCACATGAGTTGATACCAGCTTGCTTTGGCAAGGCGCGGCCTCATTCATGATAGCGAAGCCAAATGTAACATTCTCGTTTGTTTGCCCAACAATGAAATAGCGCCTCGAGGATGATAATGAGGATGAGGATGATGATGGGGATGAGGATGAGGAGGAGGAGGATGATCCCTTCCTAACCCCGCTGCCTCCCTGTCGAACTTTCACTGCCTGGAGGAGACTCAGTCCCGAGAGGGTGCTGGAGAAAGACGAGATGGGGGATAAACAAGCTAAGTGCACTCGCGCCATATCTGACCTCCTACCCCTCGCGTCCAAGCCTTTTCATTACGCTGGATCCTGTTTAATCCGCCCGCTGCGGTCCTTGATCTCCCAAGTGGCCCCATCGCGTCATGCGCAATCAGAGAAAGGGGGTTTTGTTCATTTGAGGCGGAGGAGGCTGTCGAGCAGGAGGATGAGAAGGAAGAAGAGGATGATGAAGAAGGAGGAGGATGAGGAGGAGCAGGAGCAGGAGGAGCAGGAGGATCCGCGGAAGGAGGAGGGAACAAAAAGACGGGGATGGTAGCCACGCAGGACGAAGCGGATCCAGAAGTCTGGCCCGCGCTGGTGCGAGAGTGTCATGCTGAAAGACGGGAGCAAAGCTCCGATCCTCAAATGTGGCCAACGTTGAAGCGGGAACCCAGAGTTACGAAGGGCCGCCAACGTTCCGATCTAAACGACACGTGTGAACCAACGCGCAGCCTCCCATGAGGCCCAAAAATGGGAAAACGGGGGATGGGTAGCGGTATGGGTACCTTTTCCCCCTCTGACCTCCGTCGTTGTCCTCGGGTCTTGCTTCCCCTTTCTGTTTGCTGGTCTGGTGAACGACACTCGCCTGCCGCTTTTCCACACCATGGCTCTCGCCTCGGCCCGCCCCTCAGCCTGGAGAGCACGACCTTGGCTCGAGAGCGCTTGTCACGCGTGCGCGGGACTTGCGCCGAGGCACCCTGTTAGTTGGACGACCGGCCGTTGGCACAACGCCGCGGAAGAGGAACACACGTGTGTTGTTCTTTGTATGCATGTCGCCGCGCCGTGTGTTCTCGACGCGCCCAAGTGGACGCCACCGACACCGCAGCAGACCCACGGCAAGCCCTGCGCCCCGCGCCCCAAGCAGACGACGCCGGCACCGCGGCACACTCCAGGGGGAGAGCCCTGCGCCCGAGGCGGCGTTTGCCCTGGTGGCCGCGGCGCCCTCCCCAAGGCGCAGGGCCGCGAGTCGGAACGAACGGCGCGGCGACACACATAGATGAAGATCAGATTTGGGCAACCTCGCGAAACGACTGCGCCGCACGAGCCTCCTCTCAATCCCTCCCCGGGATCCAGCCGACGGGAACCCGACCCGCTCTTGCTGTGCTTGGCCAGGAAGGGCGCGACGATCATCCCTGGCCTTGTGGACCTCAATCTCGCCACCAGCGTGGCGGTCCTTGAGCCTGGAGACGTGCCCCAATGGAACGTCGTACCCGCTTTGAGCTTGTTGGCCGTGCTCGAGGGATCTGTGTCATCGTCGAGGTAGCCAGGAAGGTGCAGGGTGTAGAGACCAATTTGTCTCATGCTTCGGTCCTTCTGGCTGCCTGCGGTGAGGGCATTGGATAAGGAACCGTTGGATAAGGAATCTAGGGTCTGGTAGCACCGCCGCCCCAATCAGATAAGGATTCCCCCAAGGTCTGAAGCCTCCTGGGCACATTCCTGAACCAACGCCCCACACCGTATCATGCCCGCGTTGGCCGAGTAGGTCGCGCCGACACCGTCACGCTCCAGGGTGTAGATTTGCTCGGATGTGTGATCTCCAAAGGTGGCCGTCTCCATGCCTTCCATGCCCGATCCCAGGTGCAAGCACAAACGTCGCAACCCGTCCTTTGCTGACGGTCCACTTTTCGCAGCTGTGTAGATCCGTCACCGTGCCTGCACGGAGTGGGCGTGTAAGAATGCTTGTCTGTTACCTGGACGGTTTTAAACATGTTTTCTAGTCCGCCCCTCCCCTGCATCGCGCGCATGCTTTTGAGATCGCCCACCTTGACATTGATCCCTGGTGCTCCTTTCAGCCTCCAGGCGGCCAAGATGGTCTCTAAGAATGCTTCCCAGGCAGCCACGATGACACCAACACTGCTCAAGAGGCTCTCAAGACAGCCTCAAGACGGCCCAAGAGGCCCCCAAGATAGCCCAAGAGGGCTTCGAGAGGCCCTCCAGGAGAGCCCGAGGAGGCCTAACTCATTGATTTTCATTTGGTTGTTGAAGGATTTGGAGGTTCTCGCCAGTTCGGGTTTCCGACCGCCCAGGACGGCTCAAGGGGCCTCCAATGTAGCTCCAATGCAATCCATGAGGCCCAGCCCCGAGTCGGCCCAAGAGGACCCCAAGCTCGCTCACGAGTCTCCTAAGAGGGCTCCAAGACGGCCCCAAAGAGCTCCAAGAGGGCCCCAAGACGGCCGAGAGAGGCCCCCAAGACGGCCTCCGAAGGCATCACACGGGCCAAGAGCCTCCCTAAGACGGCCCAAGAGGCTCCAAGAGGCTCCCTGGAGACTCTAAGAGAGCCCCTAAGGCATTTTCCTTCTTGTCTTTATTCTCTCCATCTCCCTCTCCTCCTCCTCATTCTCCTCCTCCTCCTCCGCCTCCTACTCCCTATCGCGCGGACGAAGACGAGGTCGAGACCACGACCCTCCCCAATTCAGACCACTCGCTGAACTGCCGCAGGGCGTGAACTCGACCTTCTTCGTACCGCGCAGACAAAGACGCGGGCGCACGACCCATTCCGATTCAGACCACTCATAAGAATTGCGCTGCTCCTGCACTCATCCTCCGTCCTGCTGCACTGATGCACAGGCACGGTGGCGGGGTTTGCCGCAGGCGTCTGGATCATGTGGCTTCTTCTTCTTCTTCTTCTTCATCGTTTGGCCAAGCTGCAGGGAATCGCGCTACCACGGTGTCGTCGCCACCAGCGCAACTCTCCTCGTACCCATCCCAATCAGGTGGGCCGATTTTCGCCAGATGACAGCTGCCGCCCATGAATGCCAGCAACAACCACAGAAGCTTAACTGCGCATGAGGCCCATGACCGCTGTGGTGCTGTCCGGGGCGACCAGCCTTTGTCCTCCTCGCGCTCGTGGAATCTGGCGGCTCGCGATGGTCGGTGTTGTACAGGCCACCAGTCGAGTGATCAGTACCTGAATGCTAACAAACATGCCCACACAAATAAGCTAGAAGAGCACTGAACGGCATAAACATGATTTCTTGGAGGTCCGCGCGGATTTCTTGGATCGGCGCTGGAACCCTCTCCCTGGCGCGCGGGGCGCGCCAGGGGCGGCGCCGGAGGCGCCACCAGGGGTGCCCAACGCCGATCCAAGAAATCTGCGCGGACCTCCTGGAACTCAGGTTTATGCGTTTTTTGTTCTTCGAGGCGCATCGACCGCAACCCAGCAACCTCCCACACACGGCGAGGCGACGGTGGGCTCCCCAACGGCGGTCGGCCCGCATGTCGGCGTCTCAGCACCCGACCCGTCTGCGGGACACCTCCGCAGTCAGGCGGTCAGGAGGGCAGGCCCGCCCGCAGCGATCAGCCGAGCTGCTGCCTGGCCATCCACCGCGGGAAAGGGGTCTCGCTTCCCTTCAGCTGCAGCACCCATGCCCACGGCCTCGTCCCAATGTCCCAGCCACGAAACGGAGAGGTATAAGGAAGATGCGGACGAGGGGGGGGAGGATAAGGACACAGGCGGAGAGATATACGTAAGATGAGGAATCTGGGGAGAATAATGGGATATGGTCTTCCCTTCGACCAGAGAGCACGAGCAAGCAACCCTTCATTTGCGCAAGAGACGGCGCAACCTGGCACAATAACGCCATCGTATTGAAGTTGAGGCCTCGAGATGACCGCATCCCAATGATCATTCCCGTGCTATGCACATTGCCTTGTCAAGCTACCGTGAACTCCCGTCTGCAATGTCCCCCACACCTCATGGTGCTGTTTCGTCTTCTGTATATCCGACACTTTGTCAATCTTCCAGCGAGTGGAGAGTCGGGCAGAGACAGGCGGCTCAGCCACAGGCAGCGCAGCAGATGATGATTGATTTGGGCGCGCATGCCGCAAAATGCAAGTGCCCTGTTCCAACTCTCATCCTAGTCCTTCTCCTCCTCCTCATCCTCACTCTGGGATACAAACACATCGACTCGTTATCCTCGTTCCACATCCTCCTCACCCTCGAACGTCATCCTTATCCTCGCTACCCTGTCACACCGTACGGATACAGCACGCTATGCTTCTGCGACAACCATAGCGCTCACAAGGCGTGTCTGTTCCAAGCGCACGGCGCCAAAACCATCGGCTGCGACGCTAGGGCAACGACTCGAAGCCCATGCGAGATCCAACTGTGAAAGCTCGCGTCTCCCGCGAGAGGCGAGTACTGCGCCACTTTCCATCGACTTCCACGCTCAAGCCTTTATTGGCACTTTATCTGCAGTGTGCAAGCATCTTGTTTGTTTGGACCAAGTTGTCAACGTATGCCTATGCGGGGCTGGGGCTGCGTGGAAGTGAAGGGGGAGGAAAAATTGAGGAATGGGAGGAGGATGAGGAGGAGGACGAGGAGAGGTGGCGGGGGGGCAGGAGAGAAGTAACGCGGAATCCACATGAGGAAGACTATGATGAGGCGGAGTTGATTGAATCTGATATTGAGAGGAATGGGGTATGAGGAGACGGGGGAGGAGGAGGGAGAGAGAAAGATGTGATGAAGAGGGATGATGAAGAACAATGGGAGGGTGGTGGTGGTGGTGAGGAGGAGGAGGAGAAGGAGAAGGAGAAGGAGGAGGAGAAGGAGGATGAGGAGGAGGAGAACCAGTGCAAACCCAAGACCCACTAACGATGTTGGAATACACCCTCTCTCCAAGCTCCCTCTTCATAGGTACCTGCAAATATTCATTTCCACTGAGGGAAGTGCGCCGTTGGGAGACAACCGTCTGAAGATCCTGAAACGTGCCAAACATCGTTCTCGGGACTCCATCCCCACGAATCAACCTGACTGTTGCGTTTTGGCGATCTGGAATCGTACCGAATCATCGTTCCCTAGGACTGCACCACCGCGAATCAACGTAACTGTTGCGCCCTGACAATCCTGAACCCTTCCAAAGCTCCATTTCTGGTCGCTAACCATGGGAACCGGTGAAACTCTTACAATATGTTAGGCAAATGTGCGCGGCGCTATGGCGAGAACCACATTTTGAAAACAACCCGCCCTCAACCCGTGAAACTCTTGCGCGTTTTAGAACATATGTGTGCAACGCTAAAAGGAGAACCACATTATGATACCGACCCGCCCTCAATCTGTGAAGCTCCTGCAAATTGTCAAGACGAGTGTGCGCGGCACTAAAACGAGAACCACATTTTGAAAACGACCCACCCTCAACCCGTGATGCTATTGCGAATCTTTTAAACGAATGTGCGAGGCGCCAAATCGAGAACAACATCTTGAAAACCACCCGCCGTCAACCCATGAAACTCTTGCAAATTGTCGGGACGAATGTGCGCGGCGCTGAAGCGAGAACAATATTTTGAAAACGTCCCGCCCTCACCCCGTGATGCTCGTGCGAAACTTTTAAACGAATGTGCGCGGCGCTACGGCGAGAGCCACGTTTCGAAAACCACCCGCCATCAACCCGTGAAGCTCTTGCAAATGTTTAAAGCCAATGTGCGCGGCGCCTGGGCGAGAGCCATTTTGAAAACCATCCGCCCTCAATTTGTGAAACTGTTGCCAACTTAAGATTCAAGATCAGAAATGGTACGGTAATCTCAGGAGAAGCGCCCGGCCCGCCCTTCGGACTGGCCCTTGGATGCGGCACGGAGGAGTTATTTAGAAGGAAAAGGAATTGATGATGATGATGACGATGATGATGATGATGATGATGATGATGTTGATGTTGATGAAGATGATGGTGATGATGATGCTAATGGTGAGGCTAATGATGATAATGATGATGATGAGGATGATAATGATGATGATGCTGATGCTGATGCTGATGCTGCTGCTGCTGCTGCTGCTGCTGCTGATGATGATGATGATGATGATGATGATGATGATGATGATGATGATGATGATGATGATGATGATGATGATGATGAGAGGGAGGAGGAGGACGGAGAAGGACGGAGAAGGACGGAGGAGGGCGGAGGAGGACGGAGGAGGAGGAGGAGGAGGAGGAGAAGGAGGAGGAGGAGGAGGAGGAGGAGGAGGAGGAGGAGGAGGAGGAGGAGGATGCGGCACTGACTGGAGCCTGCCACGCTGGGCACTGACAGCCACAGAGGAGGGGGGCAGGCCGCTGCCCCCCCCCAGAACCGGAACAGAAGTTCTGGGGGCGGCACCCTGCCGTAAGAGAAAAGCGGCTGGGGTCGGCGCCTGGCGGTTCGGGGGGGGGGCGGGCCGGGCGCGCGCGCGTGGGCACGCGCGCCTCTTTCGCCCATCCGCCATCGACCCGAACGCGAACAAACACACACACACACAAACACAGACAAATTTCGAGCGGAGCCAGGGCCCGTGAAGTTAGAGGCGTATCCGAGTCCGCTCGGGGTCAGACACCATCATCGCGCGATGCGCGGGTCTCAGACGAGATTGAGCTTTGCCCTCGTCAGCTTGGTGCGTCCCAGCAGAGAACAGATTCCTGTTCCCAGAGGCTCGAGATGAAAGCCTTCACGGGGGATCACCGTCCAGAAGCAGACAGCCCGCACCCTCCGTAGAAAAACTAACCACAACCAGTGCACAACACAACGTGGCCCGGCGCCACGAACAGATGATGGCCCCTTTAGCATCGACTGACTGGCTCGGCAGGGCCGTGCTCAGGGAGGGGCGCCGCGGGCACAGCAACTTACGACGGCGTCGGCCTACCTCGGACTCCCACACACCTCCTCTTGGCGCCTGGGGGCAGGATGAGGATGACGATGATGATGATGATGCTGATGCTGATGCTGATGCTGATGCTGATGATGATGATGATGATGATGATGATGATGATGATGATGATGAGGTGGAGGGGGAGGAGGAGGAGGAGGAGGAGGAGGGGGAGGAGGAGGAGAAGAGGAGGAGAGGAGGAATAAGCCGGAGAGGGGTGATGGAGGGAGGCTCACGGAGGAGGCTGAGCAGGACAGAGCGGCAGGACGCTGCGCCCCAGAGCGACCAAAAGCTAATCGTACGCCCTCGGTTCACTGCCGCGGGGACGCTGCTCGAGGAGAAGGATGGGGATGAGACAGGAGGATGGGGAAGGGCGGTAGCTTAAGTCGGGCCTGTCCCCCTACAGGAGGATTTTCGACGAAAAATACAAACATTCACCAACAATAATCAAACAATAATCCAAACATAGCCTGGGGACTATTTTTTAGTATTGTTTGGACCTTTTTGGGGTATTTTTGGGGTATTTTTTTTTTCGTCGGAGATCCCCCTGTAGGGGGACACGCCCGACATAGCAGGAGGATGGGGAAGGGCGGTACGCCTCAGAGAAAGACATCGCTGCTTTAAGCTCTGCCCTTAGGTGGCACTCGCACCAAAGACTACAGTCGAGGGCTTGACCTAAGGAACCCTAAATAAGGAACGAGGCCCCTTTTTCCCACAAGTTGAACTTCGATTTCGTATCGAAAACATAAGGAAATCTGAGGCAAGCTGCGAAACAATTAAGGAACACGGAGCCCCTCCCCAACGAAAAGGGTTCCTTCTTCAGGGCCCCGACTGTACGCGGAGGTCCAACGGCGTTCCATGTCCAATCGATTCCTCAGGACGCAGGATGCTCTGAAGTCCACTGCGCGCATGGCACATTTCACGATCGCCACTCCCAAAGCGTCACTCTGGCGGGACGTGGAAATACACAAAAGTCAGTGGGTCATCTGCGCCGTTCGGGGGAGGGGGGGGCCAAACGAGCCCCCTGGGGTGCGGGCCTGAACGCGTATCCCCAACATCTCCTCGAACATCCTTACACACAGAAACGCCCCTGTCACAACAGCCTGCCGCTGCGGGCGAGCAATCTGTCGCCAATTTGCGTAAAATCTTGTTTTGCCGTGCCTGGTCCAATTCCGCAGAACATGGGTCCGTGCGCTCAGCCGAGTCAGCAAGAGATAGAATGAGGTGCAAAGATGCGCGGACCGACATACGTCTGCACAGCGAGGTGGAGTGGATACCTCCGGCTTGGTCCCTCCGCGGATTGCTGCGGTCGTCTGCCACTGGCGCGGCCAAGAAATCGCAGTGCATGCCTGCTTAGCTACAAGCTCGGATGCCGCCTGCTTGCCCTAAATTTTTGTCCCCCTCTGCCCTCCTCCCCGCCCGCTTCCCTGCAACAATGCTCTCTTCGGGGAGACGTGCGACTCGGGTTCGGGGGACTCGGGTTGGCCTGACGGGGTCATCATGAACATGCCGAGGCCCAGTCTGCAAGTTGACGCGAACTCCCGCTGCAGACATCCCATGACAACTGGACCGGCAAGCTCCAGGATGCGCTCGTCAAAAGGCGTCGGCACACCCGAGTTCCAGCGTTCGGCGGTGGACAAACTTCCCTTTAATAAACCACCCTTAGTGACAACGGCCCGGGACCGAAACCGACGGACCTGGACCCGCAAAACAGCGGCCGCGACGCCCTCTCGCGAACCGAAAGCGGCCAATTCACTCATCGCCGTGTCAGGGTAGGAGGTCTATCCTTAAGTCGGGCGTGTCCCCCTACAGGGGGATTTTGGGCGAAAAATAAAAAACAAAGCTACCCCCAAATGGTCAACAAATATAAAAAAATAATCCCCAGACTATTTTTGGACAATTTTTTGATCATCTTTGGGGTATTTCTTATTTTTCGTCGACAATACCCCTGTAGGGGGACACGCCCGACTTAAGTCTATCCATTCCCGAAGCGTGCTGGAGTCTCACGCTCCCCCGACCCCCTGCCTCTGCCTCTGCCTCTCCGTCCCTGCCTCTCAGTGGCGCGCAAAGGGGGGTAGGAGGAGGGGGGAAGGCTTCTTAGAAACACCCCTGCTTCTCAGAAGGCCCCAGCCTTACGTCTGTAGAGAAGGCCAGCGCCTCCTAAGAAGCAGGGGTGCTTCTAAGAAGCCTTCCCCCCTCCTCCTGCCTCTGCCTCTGCCCTCTCCGTCCCTGCCTCTGTGCCCGCCTGCGGCGGCGTCCGCGCCGACGCTGCGCCCGGGCCCGCGTGCCTGCCTGCGCCCCCCCCGCCTGTCGCGGCGCTGCCCCGGTGCGCAGCACGCAGCCCGGAAGCGTGTTGGCACGGAGCACGGAGCTCCGCGGGGCCTCCCAGGAGCCCACGAGAGTGGCGGCAGTTGCGCAGATCGCAGCCCGGCGGCTCGAGAGAAGAGGAGAGGGGAAGGAAACAGGAGGGGGAGGAGGGGAGGATGGGGGGGAGGAGGAGAAGGACGGGGCGACCACACTGCTCTGTTCAAAACGAGTACCCAACCATAGGAGGGTCGGGAACAAAACCAAGAAGATGGTCAACAAAAACAGATCCCCAAAATCTGGGCCAACTTTCCGGAAATTTCTCAAAAACACGCCTGGGCCAGGTGTCCGCGTCAACGCTGGAAAGGGCGAACGCGCTCCAGAGACGGGGCCAGCTTTCCGGCAAGTTGGTTAAGAACACGCTGACCCAACTTTTCGGGAGGAGGTTTCTGAATCAGATGCTCTACACCCTGCGAAATGCTTAAGAAATCATGGGTTAAGAAATTCATAGTCTCAGAACTTGGATAAAAACCCAACATTTCTATTCCAATCTTAAGATTTACATTGAAACGTTAAGAATAATCGAGACTCTGGCCGAAAGCTTAAGTTTTCTTAAGCATCGCCTAAGGTGTACTGTGCGGAAGTCTGGCGCTATACGTTCGCCAAAACGTGGGCCAAGATGTGCGTGAGACGTGATGCTCACGGTACGTGTTGCGTTCCAGCACGTGCGTATCAGGACAACTGAGGTCTGTCGGCGTTCGTACGCCTGGCTCTGCTGTCCTCGCCTCGCGGCCCAAGCGGGAAAGAACTCACTCGCAGGACGGCGCCTCCTCCCTCAATGCCCCGTCGCCTTCCTTGATGCTCCTCTGAATCCGCCTGCTGGCACCTTCGCGCTGTCACGACAAGATGTCGTCCTCCTCTTCTCCTCCCCCCTTTGCTCGTGTAGCGTCGTTTCCATGGACAAGCGCGTTTCACGACTCGCAAAGTAACTTCTCGCAAATGGCCTGGATCCGCCGCGGGGGAAGCAGGATACATTACATCGGGGAATCCATTTTGTTCTCGGACGTTTGCGAGTAGGCATCTTGCGAGTAGTGGAGCGCGCTCGGTGATTCTACGTACAGGTGCGCCGCGGTAGTGATTTCTCATCGGCGCTCAGACAGAAGGGAGCCTGGGGTCCTCGTGAGCCTCCTGGTGTTGTGCCACGGCAGCGGCCAGCACTGCCCGCGCACAGACGTTCCAGCGGATGCCCGAAAGAAAGCGAAGCATGCAAACGACTCGCTCTCGAGCTTGACCCCGGTCCCTTTGCAGCGCGCGGGCGCTCGAGGCTCGCGCTCTGTCGGCCGTGCCCGTGCCTGCGCCTGCCCCCGTGCCCGCGCGCCTCTGTCCGCCTCCGTGCCCGTGCCGGCCTGTCGGCCTCCGCCCGCGCGGCCCGCCCGCCTCTGCCCGCGTCGGTGCCCAGAGCTGCGGCTGCAGCGCACTTAGAGGTACACACGTGTGCCTCTGTGTGTGTGTGTGTGTGTGCACATGTGTGCGCATCCACTTGTCCCCGCCTGTCTGTCTTACTCTCTCATTTTTTTTTTGTTCTCTCTCGTTCTCTCTCTCTCTCTCTCTTCTCATCTCTCCGATGCTTCTCTGAACCGATGCTCTCGTGGCGCTTGGGGAGAAACTCAGGGCGACCGCGCTCCCAATCGCCTGCCATGTGCTCATGTGCTCCCAGCCCCTTGCCCCAGCGGGGCGCTCGAGGATCGTCAGCCGGGCCGAGAAGGGCAACGCCGTGTGCTGCACCTTGCAGCCCGGACGCCGGGCCGCGTGCGCGGGCCCACGTCTGCTCTCGAGCACACGCTGACACAGGGTACGCATCCGTGGATCTGGCGCGTGGGCGCCAGATCCACGGAACGGGGAATCGTACCCCCGAAGCAGGAGGCCCATGCCGCCTGATTTGGCGGCGGAGCGCGTCGACTCCGCTGGGAAGCGGGACTCGCGGATCATCCACGCCCCACAGTCCAGGACTGCGCCTCCTTGATGACCCCGCCCGCTCCGCCAGCCCGGGCTCCCCCGCTCGCCCTCGGGAGCGCTGCGTGCAAGCACCTAGTTGGAATTGGAGTGGGCAAGGGAAGGGGGGAGGAGACACGGAGCGGGACAGGGGATGGGACGAGCACCTCAGACTCTTCCCAACCGTCCTGTTTGAGCTGGGTGCTCGCCGCCCCCGATGCGGCAAACCCCTCGCACGCTTCCTGCCCCCACGGGGAGCTCCACGTGCGGCGTCAGTCGGCGCCGTCGTGTGGCGTAGGCGCCCCGCATGCTGCCTCCCCCCCCCCCTCACTCGTTCCGTGCCCCCTATCGGGGGGCTCCGCACACGGAGTCAGTCAGCGCCGTCGTATGGCGCACGCGCCCCCGACTCGGCACACCCCTCACGCGTTCCGTGCCCCCGTGGAGAGCTTCACCCGTGCACTGCCTCACAGCGGGCGCCGCCGTGTGGCGGCACGCCCCTCGCACGCTCCGTGCCGCCCGCCCGCGGCCTCCACGGGTGCCGACGTGGGGCCGCGCCGCGCCCCTTCTTTGGCGCACCGCCCCGCGCCAGCTCCACGTACGGCCTCCGTGGGCGTCGACGTGTGGCACCACCGCCCCTACGCGTCAGCACACCCCTTACACAGTTCGTGCTCCTGCTACGGCCCCAGCGGGAGGGTCTGTGTGGCGCCGCCGCCCATTTCGGCACATCCCTCACGAGGATCGTGGCCCGATAGGGCGCTCCACCTACGACCCCAAGGGGAAGGACCGCACGGCGCCGCCGCTCATACCAGCATCGCCCATTTCAGCGAGGATCGCGGCCTCATATATGTTGGATCAACATGCGGCTTCAGTGGGAGGGTCCGCATGGCGGCGCCGTTCATGTCGGCGCACACTTCGCTCGTGTCGTGGTACCAAAAGGAGCTCCACAAACGGTCGCCCCATTAGCAGGGTGTGTATGGAGGCGCCGCCCGTTTCGATACACCCCTCACGATGACAATAGCCTTATAAGGGAGCTCCACCTGCGGCGCCAGTGGGTGGGTTCGCATGGCGGCGCAGCCCCTTTCGGCACACCTCTCACGAGGATCGAGCCCCCATACAGAGTGCCACCTACGGCCTTGGTGGTAACGCTTGCATGAGTACTTCGGCCTGCTTCGGCACACCTCACGCGAGCCCCACCCACGGACCCACTGGGAAAATTGGCGTGCGTTCCCCCATCGAGTTCGGCACATCCCTCACACGGGCCGCGTATAGAGAGGCCCACCACCAACATTCGGATCCAACGAGCACCCCCCCATGCCACCCCTCCCGGCGGCCCGTGCTGGCCCTTCCACGCGCGCTGAAACCACCCTCCACGCGAGCGATCCCCCCCCGACGCCCCGCACCTTGGCAGCTCCGTTTCGCTCCCCTACGCGATCCACACCCTGCACTCATCAGGCCACCTGGACTGCGAGGACAGGAGAGAGGGCAAGGACAGCTGCCAGGGCACCAGCAGATGGACGGTGTAATCGCATGGTGAGGAGGATCGTGCGCGCCGCGCCGTGGCGAAGGCCGACCGCCAGATGTGGACGGAAGGGAGAGACTGGGATAACCTCGAGCGCCAGCAGCCACAGCGCGAAGCGGCCCGAGACTCCCGAGGCCAAAGCTGTGGATGAACATCTCGCTTCTCCGAACGCTCTGGCTTCGGAGGGCGCGCCAGGTCAGGTACCCGGGACCTTCTCCCGCCACAGTGCGGCCCCCGAAGCCCCCAAATCCCCCCCCGGAACCCCCCCAGCAGCCCTCCACGCTCGGACTCCCGGGACCCAAGACGCGGTCATTTGAGCGACGGTATAAGAAACGGGTCTTACGCGAGATGGTACTGCGACCTTAAGCGGTGGCCTACGCGGGCCGCCAGCGCGGTGCGCTACGCAGGAGGCGAGGGCGCTTACGCGCGATCCTACGCGGGCAACTTGCGCGCCCATATCGGCGAAGACGACCCCGTGTCTTGGCGGCGCGCGGAGGGGGGCAGGGGGAGGGGGGAAGCTTCTTAGAAGGGGGCTGCTTCTCAGAAGGCGCTGGCCTTTCATGCATAGAAGGCCCGCGCCTTCTAAGAAGCAGGGGTGCTTCTAAGAAGACGCCTTCCCCCGCTCGCGGGGGGCGCACGCGGCCGCTGCCACCGTGGCCTTCGGCGGAGCTCCCGGCTGGGCCCTCCTCCTCCTCCTCCTCCTCCTCCTCCTCCTCCTCCTCCTCTTCCTCTTCCTCTTCCTCCTCCTCCTCCTCCTCCTCCTCCTCCTCCTCCTCCTCCCTCCTCCTCCTCCTCCTCCTCCTCCTCCTCCTCCTCCTCCTCCTCTCTACCCTCCTGTGCGCGTGGCCGACGTGCTTCCGGCCGCTCGCACGGGGTCCGCACACACCGGCGGCAGGGGCCCGATGCCGCCGGAGGCCTCGAGCGCCAAACAACCGCCGCCGCCAGGCACGGCCCGCCGCTGCGAGGGGGGGGGCTGGTGCGCCAGGAAGCCTGGAGGCCCCCCCCCGCCGCCCCCCCCCTCCTCGTGCGCCTCCTCCTCTCGCCGGAGAGGACCACCGCCTCCCCCCCCCCCCCCTCCTCGTGCGCCTCCTCCTCTCGTCGGAGAGGAGCCCCCCTTCCCCCCCCTCCTCCTCGTGCGCCTCCCCCTCTCGTCGGAGAGGAGCCCCCCTTCCCCCCCCTCCTCCTCGTGCGCCTCCTCCTCTCGTCGGAGAGGACCACCCCCTCCAACCTGCCCCCGCTCCTCCCCTTGTGGGGATACCGGTGAATCCCACCACGGGGAAGCCGCCCCCTCCAACCTCCCCCGCTTCTCCTCGCGGGGGGATGTCGCCGAACCCAGCGGGGAGGACGAGGACTATCCCTACCGCGCTCCGTGAGGTGGACTTGGGGGTAGCGGCCCGTGCTGACGCCACTCATCCTCTTCCCACCGCTCGTGGATCGCCGATTGGCATCAGATCCTCCCCCTCCCCGTCCCTGATCTTGTATTGTCTCGGTGGTGAACTGAAGCCAAACGTGCTCAGCTGGCCATGGCCGGCACCGAAACAGCCCACTGCCGTTCGGCGACAGCACGGTCGACCGCCAGACTGCCTCCTGGGACATCTCACAATTGCCACGGAGAGCCCATCGTCGGGCCGAAGGTTTGCGACGCGCGCTGAACAACAAAACGCGCCTCGCATCCTCCTGCAAATCTGACCTGCTCTTGCATGGCCCCCCTCCCTGCCGTGGGCCTTTCACAATGCAACGGTCAGGCAACCGGCACCCGACAGCACACGGCAGACCAGGCGTGGCGCTCAGGCGTTTTGCCCCAGGCTTCGACGTCGCCCAATGCCCACTGCTTTAATCAGATGCCAGCAGCATTTGGCGCGGCCCTCATCCCAGGAAGGGCGGGTCGGCGAGCAGCTCGTCCGACCAGATGGCCAGGGCTCGAGCTGAGAGGTGCGGTGCCCCTCTGGCATCACGCTGCAGACCTCGCCCGCTCCTCTATCGTCCTCCCCCGCTCCTCTGAAGGTTTCTGGGCTGATGGCAACGTTTAATTCGTGTCGTGAAGCGCATTCGGCTACAGCCAGACCTAAGACAGACGAGCAACCTCCAAGAACATGAGGCCCTCTGCCGGCTCAAACGGAAGAACACTGGAGGGCGCCCTCCTCCAGGATGCACAAGAGCATACGTCACACACGAAGAACACTAGGGTACCCTCCCCGAGCCGACCTCGACCTTACACCTCGGTCCGACGGTACACGATGTCTAGCTGAGATATTCCTGCCTTTGCTGGTGGCACTTTGGTGTAATGTTTGTCCGCCGCCCAGCTCCTCATACTCCTCTTGTTCCTACTCTAAGGGGGGGAAAACACATATACAAATAATCGACGATTCCCAAGAACAGATGGACAACATGGGAAGTGGATTGGAAGACGAACATTTAGAACATAGGGATAATATTGGGAATCCTCGGATTAGTGTCTATCTATCTGTGTGTCCCTGGGCGCCTGCGTACTCTCACGTCTAGGAGCCGTGGAGGGGGATTGCCGCCCTCCACGGCTTATAATCCTCGGTGGCCGCGCGCTACGTCCTCGTCTTTCTGTGAGCGCCACAGGATTGCGCGGACTTTCTGCCATGCCTCCTCCCCTCTTTTCCTCTCCTCCTCGTTTCTCCTCCGCTCTCCTCCTGCCTCCTCCCATTTCCTCATTCTGCCTTGCCTCCCTCCTCACCCGCTACCTCCCGTCTTCCTTCTCCTCCTCCTCCTCCTCCTCCTCCTCCTCCTCCTCCTCCCCCCTCCTCCTCCTCCTCCTCCTCCTCCTCCTCCTCCTCCTCCTTCTCCTCATCTCATCATCATCCTCCTCCTCCTCCCTCCTCCTCCTCCTCCCTCCTCCCTGCTTCTCTATATATGATCCCTGGCTCCGGGCCCACGGGCCCCCCCCCTCCCCACCCAGATGGTATGGTCCCAGGATTCTCGGGCCCCCCCCCCCTCCAGATGGTATGGTCCCGACGACGACGACGACGACGACGACGACGACGACGACGACGACGACGACGACGACGACGACGACGACGACGACGACGACGACGACGACGACGACGACGACGACGACGACGACGACGACGACGACGACGCGCGACGGCGACGGCGGCGGCGACGGCGACGACTACGACGACGGCGACGACGACGATGACGACGACCACGACGACGACGACGGCTGCGGCGGCGACGACGCCGGCGGCGGCGGCGACGACGACGATGACGACGATGACGACGGCGACGACGACGATGACGACGACGACGACGACGAGGACGACGAGGACGACGACGACGACGACGACGACGACGACGACCTCTGAACCACCACAGCACCACACCACATCCACAGGGGGGGGGGGAGGGGGGCACCGCAGCGCAGCACCACGCCACGCCCACCTCTGAACCACCACAGCACCACACCACATCCACAGGGGGGGGGGGGGCACCGCAGCGCAGCACCACGCCACGCCCACAGGGGGGGGCGGGGGGGACCATCGCGCGGGGGGGGGGCCCAATGGCATCAGCATTGGAGGGGGGGGGGGCCCAAGCCCTGGACCATATATCTCCTTATCCTCGGCCTCCCTCTTCCTCTCCCCTGGACATCGGAACCCACACCCGTTCTTCGGCGCGCTCTGGTCAGAACTTCGAAGCGTGTCCCACCGTGGCGGCGAGAAGCCTGCTGGAGGATGGACAGAAAACGAAGAGAGAACAAACCTGAACCTCGAATCTTCCGCTGCGTCCTCCCCCTCCTCCCCGCCACCACCCGTGCCCCAAACCCGTCGGCGCCCCAGACGCAAATCCGAGGACGCCGTCCTCGCGTCGCGCGCGCGCCGCCGGGCGACGGGAGTGGGACAAGTGCAGGGCAGCGAGCCAGCACGCGAAGACGAGCGGACCGAGAAGAGGAGGAGGAGGAGGAGGAGGAGGAGGAGGAGGAGGAGGAGGAGGAGGAGGAGGGGGAGGAGGAGGAGGAGGAGGAGGGAGTCAGAATGAGGATCGAGGCCCGACTTTTTGGGACGGTTCTTGTCTGGTGCGTCGGCCTTCGGAGTGGTTCTCGCGGCCACGACTGGGCCCCCGCCGAAGTTCTGGCGCAAAGCGCAAGTCAAGGGCTTGATGTTGACCCCCGATGTCGGACCTCTGGGCGCATCCACCAGCCAGATTGGTCGGCGGCTTGTGAACGAGCTGGAGGTGAGCAAAACAGCAGTGGCGGATGTATGCAAACCGCGGTGGAGACAACGGTCATGAACAGGGAGGAACACGAATACTGCCGTGGAGATGCTCTTGTGAGACGCGCTTTTGCAAGGAAGTGTCGGCGGCCCTTCTGGATGGGAACAAAACAAACTGCCCAAACAAACACTTTCGGAGGGCGCACGGATTTCTTGGATCCGCACTGGGCCCCCTCCCTGACGCGCGGAGCGCGCCAGGGACGGCGCAATAGGCGCCGCCAGGGGGTACCGGTATCGATCCAAGAAATCCGCGCGGAGCTCCGAAAATGGATGCCGATGTCTTCTCTTCCGTCTTCGATCTCCGTGGGGCCACCGGCCCGCGATCCTGTGCGCGATGTTTGTGCTGATTCAGCACCGCTCATCTCCCAGACGTGGACTCGGATATCGGTCGGGCTGGTCAACCTCTGAGCGCGCGAGCCCAGGAAGCGGCAAGGCGCTCTGATCTCTGAAAAGAGCTCTTCCTCGAACCGATGATAAGGGGGGAGCCATCCACCTGGCATCGGCGATGCATTGCCGACAGATCGGCGATAGGCTCTCGATAGCCTCCCCGCTCGCTCCTGGGCGGGGTGGGCTCCATTGGACCCCTCTCGGCGAGCCCTGGCCGATTGGGGGGTCGACGCGTTTCCCCCGGAGAGCCTGCCCCCCTCTCTCTCTCCTCGTGCCTCCCGGTGCTCGGGCCACGGCGCCACTCTTCGGCGGGCGTCGGGGACGACCTGGGCCCCCCCCCGGAGCGCGCTCGGCGAGGCGCAGCCGTTGGAGGGCACCCCGAAGCGGAGGAGCCGCCGAGGGCCGACGAAGACGTCCGAGAACCTCGGACCTCGACCCTCGAGCCTCGAAGTTCCCCGCTTCGAGCCCATCCCTCTCTCCCGAACGCTGCCCCCCGAGCTCGGCCTGCCTCGAACAGGGCCCTCGCTTGTGGTGCGGCGAAGGGGCGCTGCGCGGTGGCTGTCAGATGGCGGGCCCCCCCCTCACGCTGCCCCTGACAGGAACACCTCGGCGGGCCCGGGAGGCCCCCGACTCCGAGGTCTTTGGCCTCCAGGAGAGCATCGATAGCCAAGCTCTAGGTGGGGCCCTCCGAGCCAGCCCCTCCTCGAATGGCGAGTGCAGTGGGAACACAGGAGGGGGGAACAATCGAACCAAAGCACGCTCTGCCGATCCTCATTTCCCCCCTCTGTTCTTCTACTCCTGCCCTCCTCTTCTTCCTCCCTCCTCCTCGCCCTTCCTCTTCCTCCTCCTCCTTCTTCCTCCTACTCTTCTTCCCCCCTCTCTCTCTCTTCTCTCTCCTCCTCCCTCTGCTCCTCCCTTGTACTCCTCCTCGTCCTCCTCCTTCTCCTCGTCCTCCTCGTCCTCCTCCTCCTCCTCCTCCTCCTCCTCCTCCTCCTCCTCCACGGGAGGTTTCTTCCGATTACCCTGCACATGCAATCCAGGCCGCCAATGTCTGATCCGATTGCCTTACTGCGGCACGGCCACGACCGCGCGCCCCCTCGTCTGGCTCTACGGAGCTTCGATGACGGGCTGAGCGCTTGTCGTCCGGTGTCCATGCAAGGCCACGGTACGACCTTCCACACCGAAGCCATACAGAGACCTTTCCAGCCAGTAGGTCGATCCACTTCGGGCTGTTGGATACTGATACAGCCTGCTAGCTGAGCGTTCCGCGCTTTGGACGAGGAGGGAGGGGAGAGAAGGGATATGGGGAGGAGGGAGGGAGGGATGGGGGAGGAGGCGGGAAGGGGGGAGGAGGGAGGGGGGAGGGAGGGAGGGGGGAGGGAGGGAGAGGAGGGGAGAAGATGCTGAAGAGGAGGGAGGGAGGGAGGAGCCGCCCGCGCTCCGGGAGGGCAGATCAACGCGACGGGGCGGTTCGTCGGGCTCCCGAGGCTCCGGCTGGCCCTCCGGACAAAGACAGCTTTCAGGCTGGCCCCATGGCTTTGCACATCGCCTGGCACTGCTGGTCGGACACCCCTTGGAGACAGTGGGCCTGGCGAGGTCGAGGAGGGCGAGGAGGGGCGATGCTGATGATGACGATGATGCTGATGACGACGATGATAATGATGCTGATGATGATGATGCTGCTGATGCTGATGCTGATGCTGCTGACGAGGATGCTGATGCTGATAGCGGTGGTTGTGGTGATGATAGTGGCAAGGCTGATGATGATGATGATGATGATGCTGCTGATGATGATGCTGATGATGATGATGATGTTGAGGATGGTGATGGTGATGCTGCTGATGATGACGATGCCGGTGACGACGATGATGATGATGCTGATGATGATGATGACGATGATGATGCTGATGATGCTGCGGATGCTGCTGATGATGATGGTGGTGGTGGTGATGATGACGATGAGGATGATGTTGAGGATGCTGATGGCGACGATGATGATGCTGCTGATGACGATGCTGAAGGGGGGTCGCCACTAGGGTAGTCGCAACCTCCTCCAGGAAACGGGCCCGCCTTGACCCTCCAAAACCCCACCACCGCCCCCGTCCTGCTTCTCCTTCCCAGGCCCACGGTTTCACAGCAAACAGCCAGAAGCGCGCCTTCGAGCCAGCGCAGACGTGTTGAGGTGCCCACTGTTTTTCACGAGCCTTCCGGAGCCGCGCGCTGGGGCGGGGGCGCACTCTCTCACTCGTGGTGCTGGCCGGCTGTAGAGGCTGTGCAGAAGCACTCGACAGTCTGTCCAAGCGAGCTTGGCGGCGGGCAAGCGGGCGCAGGGCCTGGGGGGAGGGCAAAAGGGCGGGCGGCACGATCAGTGGAGTGGCCTTCCAGGCAGGCCCATTGCCTCCAGCCCAAGAGGGTGCAGGCAGCGGCGGGTACCACAGGGGCAGGCACCTTCCAGCAGACCCCTCTCGCCCTCTCGGAGGGCCGCCATTCCCTCTGAGCCCCTCTGGAAGAAGTCCGCCGCGCGGCGCAGCTCTCGCTCTCTGCCGGGGCCGGCCGGTGCGCACGTCTCCTCGTGCCTGCCCGAGGCGTGCTCCATGAGTCCTCCCCTGCGCTCGGCCCGCGGTGAGAGTGGAGAAGGAGGAGGAGGAGGAGGAGGAGGAGGAGGAGGAGGAGGAGGCGGCGGAGGCGGAGGCGGAGGCGGAGGAGAAGGAGGAGAAGGAGGAGGAGGAGGAGGAGGAGGGGAGGAGGAGGGGAGGAGGAGGAGGATGAGGATGAGGAGGGAGGAGGAGGAGGGAGGCGGGAGGAGGAGGAGGACGGAGGAGAAGGAGGAGGAGGAGCAGGAGGAGGCGGAGGAGCAGGGAGCAGCAGGAGGAGGAGGAGGACGCGAGGAAGAGAAGAAGGAGGAGGAGGAGGAGGAGGAGGAGGAGGGGGAGAAGGAGGAGGAAAAGGATGATGCTGCTGCTGATGATGATGCTGCTGCTGCTGCTGCTGATGAGGATGAGGATGAGGAGGAGGAGAAGGAGGAGAAGGTCGAGGAGGAGGAGGAGGACGAGGACGAGGGAGGAGAGGAGGAGGAGGAGGAGGAGGAGGAGGAGGAGGAGGAGGGAGGAGGAGGAGGAGGAGGAGGAGGAGGAGGAGGAGGCGGAGGAGGAGGAGAGGAGAGGAGGGAGGAGGAGGAGGAGGAGGAAAAGGAGGAGGCGAGGAGGAGGAGGAGCAGGAGTGAGGATTGAGGAGTTAGGAGTGTGGAGGGAGGAGGAAGGAGAGAAGAGGGAGGAGGGAAGAGGGAGGAAGGAGAGAGGAGGAAGAGGAGGGAGAAGGAGGCATCACGCGGGAGGATGATGATGAGGAGGAAGAGGAGGAGGAGGAAGAGGAGGAGGAGGAGGAGGAGGAAGAGGAGAAGGAGGAGGAGGAGGAGGAGGAGGAGGAGGAGGAGAAGGGGAGGAGGAGGAGGAGGAGGAGGAGGAGGAGGAGGAGGAGGAGGAGAAGGAGGAGGAGCAAGAGGAGGAGGAGGAGGAGGCAGAAGTGGATGCGAAATCCGCCGACCCTGTCGGTGTGTGGAAGAGGCTTCTCCGTCTGTTCCCTCTTCGTCGTCGTCGTCGTCGTCGTCGTTCCTTCCCCTTTCCCCACAGCGTCGTTGCTTCTACCCCTCTCCCAGAGCCTCCTCCTGAAGCGTGTCAGTCCAAAGCGAAATTAAGCAACGTCGTAATTGAGTCGAAGGGAAGCCCCTTCCCTTTGATCCCTTCCCCGCCCGCGGGGGGGGGGGTGGTCCCGGGGTGGGTCCCGGGGGGGGTCCCCGGTTTTTACCCCCCCCCCCGGGGAACCTGGAGCCCAAAAAAGCCCCAAGACGGGCCAAGAGTGCCCCAAGAGGCCCCCAAGACGATCCAAGAGGGCCCCGAATCGCCGAATGATCTGTCCAAAACGCCTTGACGGCCTCCAGACGGCCCAAGAGGCCTGCGAGACGCCCCAAGAGGCCTCCAGGACCGTTCCCACGAGAGCCCCAAGAGGCAAAAATAATGGATTTCCCATACGTTTTTCAAGAATTTTGGCGTTCTCGCCTCTTCCGCTTCCCCACTCGCCAAGACGGCCCAAGAGGCCCCCAAGGTCGCCCCGAGACGGCCCAAGTGGCCTCCAAGAGAGTCCCCAAACGGCCCAAGAGTGCCCCAAGACGGCCCAAGACGCCTCCAAGACGGCACAAGAGGCCCCCAAGACGGTTCCAAGAGAGTGCCCAGACGGGGGACCCGAACGGACATTTCGAGCCCTCAGCCCAAACATCCCCCCAGAGGCCCCTGAGAGCGCTCGAAAGAAACCCCAAGAAGCACGTTTGAGGACTCAACCCACGTCAGCATCGTCGTCGTCGCTACCGCCGCCGCCGCCGTCGTCGTTCCCCTTCAGGGTCGGCGGCACCAGCCGTAAGGCCTTCGCAATAGGAGGAGGAGGAGGAGGAGGAGGCGGAGGAGGAGGATGACGATAGAGGAGGCGGAGGACGGATGAGGAGAAGGAGGCGAAGGAGGCGGATGAGGAGGAAGAGGGAGAAGAGGAGGGGGACGACGACGACGACGACGACGATGATGATGATGATGATGATGCTGCTGCTGCTGCTGTCGATGATGATGCTGCTGCTGCTGATGATACTGCTGCTGATGATTGTGATGATGATGAGGCTGATGATGATGCTGATGATGATTATGCTGATGCTGATGCAGCCGCTGCTGCTGATGCTGCTGATGATACTGATGGCGATAATGACGATGCTGCTGCTGATGCTCCTTCTGCTAAGGATGATGATGATGATGCTGCTGCTGGTGAGGCCGCCGATGATGAAACTTATGATGCTTCTGCTGCTGATGCTGATGCTGACGATAATGCTGCTAATGATGATGATGATGATGATATTGATGATGATGATGATGATGATGATGATGATGATGATGCTGCTGATGACGATGACGATGATGATGCTGATGATGCTGATGATGATGGTGATGGTGATGATGATGCTGATTATGATGATGCTAATGATGATGCTGCTGCTGCTGATGATGATGATAATGATGCTGATGATGCTGATGATGATGATGCTGATGATGATGATGCTGCTGATGATGCTGATGCTGCTGATGATGATGATGAATGATGACTGATGATGCTGATGATGATGATGCTGATGATGATGATGCTGATGCTGATGATGCTGATGCTGATGATGATGCATGATGATGATTGGATGATGATGATGATGATGATGATGATGATGATGATGATGCTGATGATGATGATGTGATGATGATGCTGCTGATGATGATGCTGCTGATGACGATGATGATGCTGATGATGATGCGGATGATGAGAAGGATGGGGGGGTGATGATGAGAAGGAGGATGAGACAGAGGAGGAGGAGGATGAGGAGGAGTAGGAGAAGGAGGATCAGGAGGAGCAGGAGGAGGAGGAGAATGAGGAGGAGGGAGGCGGAGGAGGAAGAAGAAGAGGAAGAAGATGAGGAGCAAGTGGAGAAGGAGGAGGGGGAAACGGAGGAGGAGAAGGAGGAGGAGGAGGAGGAGGAGGAGGAGGAGGAGGAGGAGGTAGAGGAGGAAGAGGAGGAGCAGGAGGGAGGAGGCGGAGGAGGAGGGAGGATGAGGATGAGGAGGAGGAGGAAGAAGAACAGCAGGGGGGGGGGGGGGAGAATGCGGAGGCGGAGGAGGAAGAAGATGAGAAGGAGGCGGAGACGGGCTTGGAGGAGGAGGAGGAGCAGGAAGAGGAGGATGAGGAGGAAGAGGAGGATGAGGAGGAGGAGGAGGAGGACGGAGCAGGAGGCGGCGGAGGAGGAGGAGCAGGAGGATCAGGACGAGGAGGAGGAGGAGAAGGAGGAGGAAGAGGAGGCTAATGAGGAGGAGGAGGAGGAGGAGGATGGGGGAGAATGAGGAGGAGGAGGAACATGACGATGCTGTTGCTGCTGATGATGATGATGCTGATGATGATGATGATGATGATGATGATGATGTTGATGATGATGCTGATGCTGATGATGATGCTGATGATGATGCTGATGCTGATGCTGATGATGAGGAGGAGGAGGAGGATGAGGAAGAGGCGGAGGAGGAGGAGACGGTCGAAGAGGGAGGAGGACGAGGAGGGGGGGGGAGGAGGAGGAGGATAAGGCGGAGGAGGAGGAGATGGATGAGGAGGAGGAGGAGGAGGAGAGG